CTAATATTAATCTGATTTAAAAAAAACTCTTTACTCAATGTATTAATTTTTTTAAGTTGCCATAAATCGATGAAATTTTATGAATTTTTTATGAAGTTGTATTTTCACATGTATTCGAATCACCCAAATATCTTGATTTAATTTTTTTTTTTTTTTTATTTGATTTTTTGATTTTGTTTATGATCATAAAAAATGATATGCATTTAGTTTTCTTAAAAAAAAAAAAGAAAAAAAAGAAAAAGAAAAAAAATTTTTTCCAAATTTTTTTATTATTTTATTTAAAAGTGCAAATATTTAGTTTTGTTTTTGTTCATCAAAGAATTTATCCATAGTAGTGGCCATAGTGGTATCATTGGTAGATAAGCCACCGCAATCATGGGTAGCAAGGACAACTTCAACTTTATTATAAACATTAAACCATTCTGGGTGGTGACACATCTAATAATAATAATAATAATAAATAAATAATATAAAGTAATAATAATAAATAAATAAAAGTGTTAGTATTTAATTTAATTAATGTTGTTTATGTATTATAATATTACTTGTTCAGCAACAAGGGCAACTCTTGTCATAAAACCAAAAGCTTGATTGAAATCTTTAAACATAAAAGTTCTCTTGATAGCATCTCTGCCTTCGACCATACTCCAGTCTTTTGGGATTAAAGTTTTTCTTTGTTCTTCAGTTAATAATACTGGTGCCATTATGATTTGATATATGTGTGTTTTATTAATATTTAAAATGATGAAATTTAAAAAAAAAAATTAAAAATTTTTTAATTTTTTTTAATTTTTTTTTTTTTTAATTTTTTTAAATAAAAAATATATGTGTTTATTTGATTGGTGTGAACATATAAATGAATAATAAATTAATAACTTAATAAATAATTAAAAAAAATGTTTTTTTTTTTTTTTTTTTTTTTTTTTTTTGTGCCCACAAAATTGAAATTAAATTATAAAATATTTACTTGTAAGAAAATCTTTGATAAAACAACATCATCAGCATCTTTGAAGGCAATATCAAAAATAACAGTGACATTATCACCTTGTGGTTTTAAGTAGAAACTTTCATCACTACGGTAATCAATTGAAATAATATCTGGAAGTGGTTTTTTGGCTTCAATACCTTCGAATACCATTAAAAATGGAGCAGCAACTAAATGTCTCTTTAATAAACTGACTTTTTTAGCCAATTCCTCTATAATTATTAATTGATAATTTGTTAATTTGAAAAAATAAAAATTTGATTTTTTTTTTTTTATATTGATGAATTGTCATAGTAATTTAATTTTTTTTTTTTTGAAGATACAAATTTTTGATATTAAATTTTTTTAATATAGTTTTAATAAATAAATAAATAAATTAATTAATAATCTGTAATATAATATCTTTAATATTTTGCGTATTATAACAACCTACCTTTATTACCAGAAAATGAAGTTGGGATAACTAAAGTAACATCATAACCTGGTTCTGGTCTAGCTTGAAGCATTTCACCATAGATACTCTTTAATAATGGGGCGCCACCATGTTTCATGAGATCAGCAGCAGCTTTAATTGACATTGAAACAGTGAGTGTTGATTTATCTTCTGCAGTGAAAACATTGAATTTAACACCGTCGAAATCGGCAAAGACATTGTTTACTCTTCTGTCTGAATTGAAGTGTGAAATAACTTCATCATATAAAATTCTGTTGTGGGTTTCTAATAATAACATGGTTGTTGATGATCAAAAAATTTATATAAAAAAAATATATTATACAAAGAAATTATAAATAATAATAAAAAAAAAAAAAAATTGAAAAAAAATTAAAAAAAAAAAAGATTTTTTTTTATTTTTTTTTTTTTATTTTTTAATTTTTTTTCAAAATTTTTTTTATTTTAAAACAATAAAAAAAAAAAAATTAAAATGGATGGGTATAGCCATTTTTTTTTTCAATATAATAATCATTTTAGTTATTTTATTATTAAAAACCAATTTTTAGTTTAACTAAATTGAAAAAACATTTTTTTTTTTTAATTCCAAATCTTATACTATTAAAAATCATTTATTCATTTTTTTGGCAAAGTTAAATATAAATTCCACTAAATCATTATTTTTATTTTTTTTTAACATTGTTTTTTTTTTTTTTTTTTCGCTTATGGTTTTTTTTTTTTTTTTTTTTTTTTGAATAATTCACCATATAGCTATGGTTATGTTGTATATAAAAAAAATAGATTTGATTATTAGCAATCCTAACCATTGCTTTTTTTTTTGTTGACCACATAACCATATTTATTGATTTGGACTTTTGGTGGAGAATATTTTGGAACTAAACCAAAATTGTCTCTTTATTGGAATCAATTTTTATTTAATATTTGTTAATGATTTGAATTTATTTTATTTTTTTATTTTAAAAGTTATTTTTTTAATTATTACTCGTTTTGTAAATTGTTATACATATCAAATATATAATTCAAAATAGTTGGTTTTGATTACTTTTTTTAAATTACTCAAAATTTTAAAATATTTTAATATTTATTTATTTAATTTTTTTTTTTTTTTCAAAATTTTTTAAATTATTTTTTTTTTTAATTATTATTTTTTTTTTTTAAAATTTTTTTAAAATTATTTTTCTATATTATATATAATTAATTTTCATACTATTTTATCTATTAAAAGAGTAAAATAAAGTTTTAAAAAATAGAATAATAATAATTAAAAGAATAGAAATCAAAACTTTGTACATATTTTAATTCATTATAAATTATTTTAAATTCTTTTCTTTTCATTCAGTTTTATTTATTTTTTTAATAATTATAAAATCAATATAAAATACACTCAGTATAAATAGTTACATAAAATATAAATACACACATACACACACCAAACACACATACATATATATACAATAAAATGATGAACGGACAATCAACTATTAACGAGCCAGTTGTTCAAACAATTGTATGTATTTTAATCACCAACGATCGATTCAACTTTTAAATAAATAGTATTACTAAATTTAATTTTATTATAAAGTTAAGGGATTTAAAAATGGTAGGATACAAGTTATACCATGTTTTATTACCAAGAGGTAAAGCTATAAATGCTTTAAGAGATTGTAAGTAGTTAAAAATATTATTTAGCTGTGGCACACAACAATAATAGTGATTGTTATGATAATTCATCATTACAATAGTACAATAGTTTAGAACAATAGTTAAAAACAATCAATTTATTAAATATTAATTTTTTTTTTTTTTCATAGGGGATTTATGGGGACCTTTACTTTTATGTTTAGTTATGGCACTGTAGGAATTATTTAGTTATAGGTTTATTTATTTTTAGGATATTTATTAATTTGATTTATTTTATATCAATAGTTTATTATCATTTTCAGCTAAAGACGATCAAATGGCCTTAGAGTTTGCAATTGTTTTTGTTGTTGTTTGGGTTGGTGCAGCTATTGTTACAGTTAATGCTCAACTTTTAGGTGGAAATTTGTAAGGATACAATTATAAAATATAACAGATATACATTCAAAAATTAACCACCAACCATTATTTTTCATTATTCAGATCTTTCTTTCAATGTGTTTGTGTTTTAGGTTATTGTTTGTTTCCTTTGACAATTTCTACCATTATTATTTTTATTCTTCCAGGTGCTGTCGATAAAATTTATGTTAGACTTCCAATCGCAGGTGGTTTTTATTTTTGGTCAGTTTTTGGTAAGTAGTTTTTGATTTTAATCCTTCTTTAAACTTATTTTCCCATACTAATTAAACCAACAATCTTTCATTTTAGCTTCATATGGATTTTTAGCAGGATCAGTCCCAGATACACGTAAACTTTTAGCAGTTTATCCAGTAATATTATTTTATTTAGTAATTGCTTATTTAGTTGTTTCTCAAAACAAATAAACAAATAAAAAAAAAAAAAAAAAAGAAAAAACAAGAAAAAAACAAATATTTAAATTTATAAAATAAACAGCAATAATCACATATAATTTATCGATTATAAAAAAATAAAAAAAAAATATAGAAAATAAAAATATTTAAAAAATTTTAAAAAAAAAAGTTTCATTTATTTAATTAATATTTCTCTTTAATTAGAAATCAATGAACTAATCGAGGGGAGTATAAGGTTTATCTAGTTATATTTAGAGGTTTTATAAGATTAAATGGATATTTTAAAAAAGATGCTAAAAAATAATACTGTTAATATTATTTATATTAATTTTTTTTTAATTACTCAGAAGTTATCTTTTTTCATTCCAAAAATAAAATTCCAAAACAAATTTTTTTTTTTTAAGGTGGTAATTTTTTTTTTTGGTAATCACAATTTTTTCTTATAAAAATATACACTTTGGGATGATATAAAATTTTTTTTAATTTTTTTTTTAATTTTTTTTTTTATAATTATTTAAAACACTTTTATTAATATTTGTAAATACTGTTATAAAATTATATTGATAATCAAATCAAATGAAGTCGATTATATTTAGTTTAATTTTATTTTTATTATTTGTAAATTTAAATAAAGCCAATGATAATAGTAGTTGTACAGTTTATATAAATATTCAATCACCCAATACCAAACAACCATGCGGTGAAACTATAGAAACTGCTTGCCAAGAATTTTTAACTGCAGTTCAGTCATGTAATACAACAGCATTTAATACAACAACCTATTATTTTTCACCAGCTACATATTCATTCGAGGGTATCGATCCATTTGGTTCAATTGTAAATAAAACTATCAATATTATTAATCAAGAGTACTCTGTTGATAAAGACACATCATATACATCAGTAATATTTGATTTAAAGGGTGCAACCAATTCATTTTTCAATGTACAGCACAATTTAATTAGTGATATTTCAAATATTAATATAACTGGTATTACATTCATCAATGGTTATCAAGAGAGCCAAGCATCCGTTTTTGTAAATCATGGCACATATGGCACTTACTCTTTCGAAAGTTGTGTATTTGAAAATAATACAATGAAATCAGGCACCAATGTTTCAAATGGAGGATCTTTTTCAGTTTTACAATCAAGTTTAAACGATGTCGTTCTTCAAGCTTCAACATTAAATATAAATAAATGTACATTCCAAAACACCTCCAATATGGGTGTTACTGGTGGATTGTTTTATATTGACAATAACGTTAGAGTTGTCTTAAATATCGAGGAAAGTTCATTCACAAACATCAATGGTGACTATGGTTCAATTCTTTACAATGGAAACAAACTTTTATCTTCAACTATTTCAATTTCAAACACAGTAATTAGTAAATGTATAGCTACCAATTCGACGATCTATTTAGTAGGTTCAACACAGGTATATAATGTTACTTTTTCAGATAACACTGGTGGGGGTGTTGGCTTCCAATTTACATCTTCAAGTGCCGTTTCAACTTTATTCTCATACTGCAACTTTATTGATAACGTAAATATAACACCTATATATTCCTTCAAGTCTGGTTTGGGTGTTTCACTTTATAAATGTGTTTTTTCAAATAATTATTACAGCCAAACGGTCGATAGAAACGGTGCTTTAACTCTATCAGATTCCACAGCCTCTGTTTCATATTGCCAATTTTATAATAACTATGCAATTAATGGTAGTTCAATTTATGCAACCAATTTCCTCTACAACGATCCTATTTCAATTTTTAATTCATCATTTGTATCCAATACTGCACAATATGGTGGTGTTTTTATTAGTCAAGGTGCTTTATTTTTAAAAGATAATACTACCTTTGCAAACAACATAGCTTCATTTGGTTCAGCTATATCCTGTTTTGATTCAACAATTGTTTTTAATCAAACTTCAATCATAACATTTACAAATAATACAGACACAAATGGCGGAAACAATAGCAATGGTTTAGGTTGTGGTTCAAATAGTGGATGTGTAATTAAAGGAAATATCCCAAATAATATTGATACTAAAACATGTGGAGTAGTTCCAGATAAAAACGAAAAGCCAGGTCTTTCTGCTGGTAAAAAAGCTCTAATTGCTATTGCTATAGTTGCCTTTGTTATCATTTTAATCGTAGCACTAATATTCACCCTCAGAAAAATAAAGCAACGTGGTGCTTATAAACCAATTGGTACCTCCAATCATTTTTAAAAAGTATACTCTTTGAAAATCCAACAAATAAATTATATTTTTAATTTTTAAAATTTGTTTTATTGGATTTTTTATTAATCAATTTTATATAAAATGGGAAATATATTTATTTGAAAAAAAATTAAATTATACATTATATGTAACTACACCATTATTGGGTTTTTGCTTAGTAAAATAAAAAAAATTAATTGGGTGATTTATTACTATATTTATTACAGTATTATAAAAACAAAAAATAATTATTTTAATTTTTTTAAAAAAAAAATCAAAATTTTTTTTTTTTTTTTTTTTTTTGATTTTTTTATTTTCTTTTTTAATTTTTTTAAAAAATAATAAATAAAGTGGATTGTGTATCTAGTTATTTAATATATTCATTTTATTAAATAATTAAATATTCAATTATCATGTCAACACTTAGTAAAAAACAAATTCAGTTAGAAGCTGAAATTGAAAAATCTAGATTCGAAAAAGATTGGGTTAATTTATCAAATTTAATTAAAAAATATAATAAATTAAATATAGAGTATGTTTTTTTTTTCCACCAATTTAAACATTGACTATATATGCATGCTAACCCAAAATTTTCAATTAATAGTCATCATGAACCATTGGAATTATTAATTAAAGTTGAAAAATCATTGTCAGAATCAAATTATAATGAAGCATTGGAAACTTTAAATAAGGCATATGCCACATCACCAGATAGTCAAGAGGTTTTAGCATATTTAGGTATTGTCGAATATGAAAAGAATGATATAGCCAAAGCATTGGGTTTTTTAAATAAAGTTTCAGTTAATCAATTTATTAGTGTTAGCAATCAAAGAAGAATTGGTTTATTAATCCAAGCATTTACAATTAAAGGAAAATGTTATGAGAATCAAGGTAATTCTGTTGAAGCATTATCAGCCTATCAAGCAGTCATTGACGTTACCTTTAAATATTACAAAAATTTCAAATTAATTGATAAACAAACTAAACTTTATTTTGAGGAATCATTAATTAGAGTTGCCATCATTCAAAAATACTTTGGGTTTGTATTATTTATTTTTAATCATCTTTGCTAAAATCAAAATTTTTATTAACATTAATTTTTTATTTAAATTAGTAATATTCAAATAAGTATTAAACATTTAAGAAACTGTTTATCATCACAAATTGGACTTAGCAAAAATACATTTAGAATTTCTTTAACAACTTTAGCCCACTTACTATTAAGAAATGTATCATCATCATCATATATTCCAGCATTAGACTCATCAAGTGACTCTACAACCACATATTCAGGTATCCACCCATCCAAACAATTCTATATACCAAACGATGAGGTTGAGGAAGGTACTTTAGCACTACTTTACGCAGAGGCATTAATTTCACAACAACAACAGCAACAACAACAACAACAGCAACAGTTACAATATCAACAGCAACAACAACAACTTTCGACACCTTCATCGAATACACCATCAAATACCAATGCCACACAATCAAATCCAACATCACCAAATATAATCCCAACCATTAGTAGTGTATTACATCACCATCACCATGCCAATGGTAAATCAAATGACATGGTATTGTCAGCAAGCGGTGTTAATCATCATATGAATAGCCACCAAATCCACAATCAATTTATTGAATCTGAAGACCCATGTTTAATATATGACGACATTTGTTTAGGCTACTCAAGAAGAGAGCAATACTATCCTATTGTTGAAACTTTTGAAAAATCTTTAGTTTTGGATTTCAACGACCCACATAAATGGATTCAATTAGCCCTCTCACTTTACTCTGCAGGAAAATATAAAAGATCATTATTCATTATAGAAGAATGTTTATCAAAAACTCCAAAAAATATTACTTTATTATTATTGGCCTCAAAAATTTGTATTAATCATTTAAATCAAGTAAGTATACCTATTTATCACTTTATAGTTAATTAAAATTATAGCAACTAACAAAAATTATTAATTTAGATTACCAAAGCAGTATTATTTGCAAAACAAGCACTTTCAAATATTGATTTAGACGATACAGCCTCTTTAAGTAAGGCCTATTTATTAATGGGTATTGCATATGGTAAAAAAGCAATTGAATGCAAATCATCACACGAAAAGATTCAAAATCAAGAATTAGCATTATCATCATTAAAAAATGCCTATGAAATTGATCCATATGATTATAGAAATAGCTATCATTTATCATTAATTTATGCGGATTTTAGAGATGTAAGTATATTACCAACATTTTTTTAATATATAAACCACTAACAATTTTATATTATCCTATATCTAGACACCAATGGCATTAAAATATATTCATGAATCATTAAAATTAAATCCACACGATTCATCATGTTGGAGCTTATTAACATTATTATTATCATCAAATAAAAATTACGAATTAGCCTATAGAACATGTAATCATGCATTAACTCAATCACCAACCAATATCGAATTACTTTTAATTAAAGCAAAACTAGAATTAGCATTAGACGATGGATCACAAGCATTAATAACCTATAAATCTGTATTTCAATATTTAGTTTCAAAAGCTTTAACCTCAAACGAAGATTTGTAAGTGCCCAACATATAAAATATATTTTACCCTCCCAAATAATAAAAATACTAATTTTTAACCTATATCAATACAATAGCGATGATTCTGTTAGTTTACCAAGAAATAGAAATCAATCAGGACCCTCCAGTGTAGTTTCTTTCGATTTAAGATCAGGCACAACAGCAGGTGACAGTAGATCACATAGATCAAATACTATAAGTGCTGTCGATATGGATTCAGCAATGAGAGATTTCGAAGATTCACCAACCTCACCAAAAGATATATTAAGAACTACAACCAACTCAACAAACAATATTTCGAGTAAAGAAGTTCATCGTAACATTTCATTATGGTTATCACTAGCTGAAGCATTTACACAACAAAGAATGTTCAAAGATGCAGCCCAATGTTTGGCACAAGCAGAGTCTATTGACAGTGATAGTGCTGACGTTTACTATCATCAAGGTTATTTAATGGAAACTCAAGACTTAACAACAAAAGCAATCTCACTATATCAAAAAGCTCTTACTATTGACTCTTCCCACACAAACTCTTTAATCCGTTTAGCACTCCATTATTTCAGAGAAAACGATTTATTATTAGCCGAAAATAATCTCACTGCTATCCTCCGTTCAAATGATCCAGCATCCCATTTAGCATGGTTCCAATTAGGTCTTGTATTAAAATCTAAAGGTGAAATCGAAAGATCATCAGATTGCTTCAAAAAAGCAATAGAACTTGACTCTACCTCACCATTAATACCATACTATCAAATTTCAAGAATTGCAAATTAGTAAAAAAAAAAAAAAAAAAAATTTACAATAAATCTATTTATAAACATCTAAAAATATTTATTTTGTTTGTGGTTTATTAATTATTTTAGCTAAAATAATAATAATTAACTATTATTTGTTTTGTTTTATTTTTTTTTTTAAAATTATTTATTTTATTTTATTTTTATTTTTTTTTTTTGTATCTTTTTATTTTTATTTAAAATGATATTTAACGATCGAATTGTCTACCGTCCTTTTTAGGGAATCTACCATTTTGTTTATTTGCGAAACCTGATCTGTTGTTTGTTTTTCTATCATTTTTTCCACTTGAATTAACAGAAAGATTAACTTTTGGTGGATCGTTGAAACCAAAAGCTTTAGCAACCATTTGGAGATCAAGAGCGTTGACATCGAAAATTTCTTTATGGGAGTGTGAGGCATATGCACAAATATATGCTTTATAGGCATCACGAGCGCTATTATAGAGGTAAAAGTTTTGAGATACAACCTTTTCAAGTTGGTCTTGAACATTGGCGATTTTACTCTTTGGGAATTCGTATTCGTTTAATGGAACTTTAGCTAATTTTAAGTATTTGAGGAAACCTAATTCTTTTGGTAAAAGGAAAAGAAGAGCACGACCTTTTTTACCAACACCTCTGGCGGTACGACCAACTCTGTGAATATATTCTTTTGGATCATCGGGTGGGTCGTATTGAATAATCCAATCAACTGATGGAATATCAAGACCTCTAGCGGCAACATCTGTACAAATTAAGATACCCTTTTCAGCGTTAACAAATTCATAAAAAGTATTAGTTCTTTTTTGTTGCTTTTGACGACCGTGGAGTTCTAATACTGGAATATCGATATAATTTAAAAGTTCTGCAGTGTATTTAACGGCATTGCATGAACTGAGGAAAACAATTACTTTCTTGTTTAAATTTCTTTTTAAGAAAGTGTAGAGTAAAAGGAAACGACGTTCACTTGGACAAACAACATAACCTTGTTCTAAACCTTCAACAGTTGAAATTTCACGTTCATCATCTACACCGACGTAAACTGGTGAGTTGTTAAGTGAAACCTTGGCAATATCTTCGACTTTACGAGTTTGGGTGGCACTGAATAACATAGTTTGACGATTCTTTGGTAAAAGTTTAACAATTTTATGCATTTCTTCTTCAAAACCAACTTCTAAAATACGATCTGCTTCATCAATAACTAAACATTTGAGATTCTTTGTAATAAAACCTTTGGTATTTTGTAAATGATCTAAAAGACGACCTGGAGTTGCAACTAAAAGATTAACACCCTTTTCGAGTCTTTCTTCTTCTGGTTTCTTTGCGGCACCACCAATAATAATACCGTGTGTTTGTGTGTGATATTTTAAGAGTTCTTTTGCAACACCATAAATTTGTAATGCTAATTCACGAGTTGGTGAAATAATAATAACACCTGTACCATTTCTTGGTTTAAATCCACTCTTTACTAAAATTTCGATTGCTGGAATTAAAAATGCTAATGTTTTGCCACTACCAGTACGTGCAGCACCTAAAAGATCTTTTCCTTCGAGTAATGGTAAAATTGATTTAGCTTGAATTGGTGTCATCTTTTTAAAAGTCATTTCTTCGATTGATTTCTTTGTATTGTCGTGAATTGGTAAATTTGCAAATTCAATAGCATTGTCTGAAATACCTAATTCTATAATATTTTTGATAAATAAAATTAAATAAAAAATTAATATTTTTTTATATATCATTTAATTTTTTTTATTTAATAAATCAATTTACCTTTTTCTGAAACATTGCCTGTATTGTTTTCTTCTGATGATTCTTGTTCTTCAACATTTTCTTCAACAGTTTCTTGTGTTTCTTCTAATTTTTGTACAATTTTACTCTTTTCATTTTGGATTTGAATTTCTTTAACTGATGGAGCTGATGCTAAAGCTTCAATTTCTTTACTGCTGGCAACAGTTGAAGTCTTGGCCTTTTTATTTTTTTGTTGAGTTGGAGCTGGAGCTGGTGAGGCTGGAGCAACAGGTGTATCAACAACCTCTTCTTCTTGCTCTTTTCTCTTTAATGATTTTTTTACAACAACTTTTTTTTGTTTATCCCCAACCATTTTATCTATATTTTATCTATTTATTTCTTAAATTTATTTATATAATAAAAAACAAAAGATAAATATATATATAAATAATTTAGTTTAAAAAAAAAAAATAAATATATCAAATGACAAAAAAAACGAAAAAAAAAAAAAATAAAAAAAAAAAAAGCGTATTCGTTTTTTTTTTTTTTTTTTTTTTTTTAATTTTATTTTTATTTTTTATTTTTATTATTTTTTAAATTTTAATATTTAATTATTTTAAAATAAAATAAATCAATAATAATTTTTATTTCTTTTTTTTGATTAAATATTTTAATATTACTAAAAAGAAGTAAACAATTGTTTTAAAGGATTAATCTTTTTTTATTTTATTTTGATTGCTGAAAAAATATAGGAATATGTTTTCTTCAAAAGGTTAATTTAAAAAAATTCTTTTGAGATTTATCAATTAACATAAATTATACCAATCGTTTTTAAATTCCAATGATATTTAATTATTTAAAAAATTATAATTAATATTATTATTTTTTTAAATTATTTTTTTTATTTTTTTTTTTAAATTTTTTTAAATTTTTTAAATTTCATAATTTGTATTTTTTTATCTATTATTAAAATAAAACACATATATAAATATTCAATAAAAATGTTACCTCCAATTAATATTAATAAGGTGATTATAAAAAAAAAAGAAAAAAAAATATTATTTTATTAATATAAAATAAAACTAACAATCTTTAATTTATATATTATAGTGGATAGAAAATAACAAGCATTTATTACAACCACCAGTTGGAGCACAATTATTATATAATGAACCAAATTCAACATTTGTTATTATGATTGTAGGTGGACCAAACCAAAGAACAGACTATCATGTTAACCAAACTGATGAATTCTTTTATCAATTTAAAGGTGATATGGTATTAAAGGTTGTCGATAATGGAGAGTTTAAAGATATTGTAATTAGAGAAGGTGAATCTTTTATTTTACCAGGAAATACACCACATTCACCACAACGTTATAAGGATACAATTGGTTTAGTTTTAGAAAAGAAACGAACACCAGAGTCAATTGACCAACTTTTATGGTATTGCGACAATTGTAAAAAACTTTTATTCCAAAAGAGTTTTAATGTAGACGATTTAGATCTAGGCAAACAATTAACTCCAATTATTCAAGAGTTTTATTCAAATGAAAAGCTTCGTACCTGTACATCATGTAATCATATTAGTCAAAAACCAAAAGTTAATGATCATATGATTTAATTTAATTTAAAAAAGAAATAAAAGAAATTTTATAGGAAAAAATAATTATTATAAAGTTGTTATTGCTTTTTTATAAAAATTTTATAATCTTGATTCTTTAAAAGAAAATTTTAATTCTAAATTAAACTAAATTTTTTTTGATAATTTTTTTCATTTCTTTTTTTTTTAAAATTTTTTAATTTTTTAATTTAAAAAAATTTTTTAATTTTTTTGATTTATTTTTTTTTGAAAAAGAAATATTTATATAATTTATTAATAATGTCAGGTTACTATAAAAGCTTAAATAGTATTGAAGATATTTCCAATGTTAGCAATGAATGTTTTCAATCATTATATTGGTTATCAAAAACAGAGTTTGTAGATTTATATTTTAAACTTAAAGATATGGATCCAACCTATAGAATAAAAGAATTATTGGTATATTTGAACTACCTCAAACAATACCCAACTTTTAAAGAACTAACAAAAATGACAGGTCACTCATCTTCAACACTACAGAAGTTTTTAAAAAGATCAGTTGAAATGATTTGTATAATTTTTGAACAAGAACCATATGTAGGTTAATTTACTAATTTACTAATTTGGTTAAAATTAAAACTAATATTTTAAAAGAAATTTGAAGATAGGTTAAAGGCAAAGCCATTATTACTTAAAGGGAAATTAGTTTATGCAATAGTTGACGCTAGTATTTATAAAATAGAAAGTATTCCAGATCCTGAGGTTGAAAAACTCTACTTTTCAAATAAGCATGGGTTTCATGGAATAAAATTTGAATTTTGTGTAGATACTGAAGGTAACATAGTTTGGGCAAATGGTAGGTATTCATTTTAATTGTTTTAATTTTTTGAAATTAAAAATATTAAAATTAAATTTTACGAGGATATTATGATGGTGCGATTCACGATATAGATATTTCACAAAAATCAAATTTGGTTAATCAAAAATTAGAACCAAACGAAAGGGTTTTAGGAGGTTTGGATTATGCTTCAGAAGATTTCGAACACTTTTTTCTCACAGTAACAAAGGATATTTCTCCATCAGAAAAAACCGACGAAGAAATTTATATGGATATGATTTTAAAGGGAAAAAGAACTATAATTGAAAACTTATTTGGCCGTCAAAATCAAGGTTTAAGTATTTTAAAACAAAGATATAGAGGTGATGTGGAATATTTTTCAGATATATTAAAATCAATTTTTTGTATATCGGGAAAAATAAAATTAAAATAATTTATACCGCCTAGAAAACAAACCAATAAATATCTTTTTTTTTTATTTTTTTTTTTTATTATTAAATGTTGTATATTTTTTATATATTATTAAAATAAAACATGAAAATATGACTTGGGTAAATAACTATCTTCAGTTATCCAAGAGTTTATAATAAAAAGCTTCCTACAGGTACATCATATTCAAAAACCAAGTATAAAGAAATCAATTATAAAAAAAAACTATTTTTAATTGGTTAAAAGTATAATAAAATATTATTCACAAACTTTTTATTATTTAAAATCAAAATTTCGAATTTTAAATATTGTTGAAAAAAAAAAAGAAAATTTCTATAAAAATATTTTTATATTTAAAAATTTAGAATTGCATTTGAATATTATAAAAAAAATATTTAATAAAAATTTAATTTTTATTTTTATTAAAGCTTTATTATGAGACCCTCATTAATTAATGGGGGTTTGAAACCAAATTATTTTTTTTAAATGATAACTTAGTTTTTATAAAAAGAAAGTAATGATTTAATGTAGTGATATATTACTATTATTTTACTATTGTTATATTATTATATTATATTTTATATTGTTGTTATTACTTTTATTTTTTTTATAAAAATTATTTATCTGGACCACTACAAATGCTACCTTCGGAATCAGAATCTCTTCTTTTCTTTTTATTTTCGAAACCCATATTTATATTGTTAAAAGATTCTATAGTTGGAGAGGTTTGACCGGATGAAAGTGGTGAGTGTGGATAGTTATTTAAAGTATAACTATTATAGCTATTTGCGGGACTGCTATTGTTACTATTGTCAGCTGAAAGGTCATCAGAGCTTTTTCTTTTTTGTAAAACTCCTTGAAAAATTGATGGAAGTGGGGTTGGTTTAGGTGCAGTTTGGGTTATATTGTTATTATTATTATAGTTATTATGATTTACAAAATTAGTAGGATAGTTTGGTTGTGATGGTGTAGATTGTGGTTGGATTTGAGATGGTGATAGGTTATATGGTGTTATATTATTACTATTATTATTATTGTTGTTGTTAATAATATTGGATAATCCATATAATGAATTTTGGTTACTAGGTGAACCATTAAGCATTCTTGGTTTATCTGGTGAAGATGATGAAGGTGAAGGGACGCCTCCCGAACCTGGACTCATCGAAACTGGAGCTGAACGTGGAAATAAATATTGTGATGGTTGTTGTTGGTTTTGAACTGATGGTAAATATTGAGGAGCATTTTTATAATATTGTTGTGGATATTGGTTATAATTAAAATTACTATTATTATTATTATTATTATTATTATTATTATTATAAGGTGAACCCCCTCTATTATAATTATTTTGGTAATTATTGCTACTATTATACATATTATTGTTGCTATTTACAAAGTTTGGTTGTTGTGTTTGTTGTTGTTCATAATAATAATTATTTTGTTGATTTGGTGAAGGAACTTGGTAATTATTTGGACTTGGTGAATTATTGTGTTGTCTATAATATCCACTGTTATTACTATTGTTATTGTTATTGTTATTGTTACTATAGTAGCTAGAGTTGTTAACTTGGTTATTATAATTATTTGTATTAAAAGTGTTTGGGTTAATGTTATTATTGTTGTAATTATTATTATTATTATTATTATTATTATTATTATTATTATTATTATTATTATTATTATTGCTATTATTATTAAAACCACTATTGTTATTATTATTATTATTAATATTATTATTATTGTTGTTGTTACTGTTATTATCACTGTTGTTGTTATTATTATTATTAATACTATTGTTTTCATCTAAACATGTGGCTGTTGTACATCATAAACAGCTCTTTTACCATCAGGGAAATTAGTTTGAACAAAAACACGATCACCATTTAAGTCTGGAATTTGTTCTCTTTTAGATTTATTTGGAAGATCAGTTAAAAAGTGTCTAAATAATAAAACTTGATTTTCTACACCATTTTCAAAAAGACTATATTCCCAAAGTTTTTTATTTTTCTCTTTGTCTTGAAGAGTTAAAGTTCTTTTGATACCAATTGTTACTTTATTTACACTGTCAGTAATTTTGGTTTCACTCCCATTTTGTTTCCATGAATCACCATTTGGACCTTTTCTAAGTTTACTTTTCTTTTGACCTGAAGTTCTATCTACAAAATGTAATTCCCCATCTAACATAAAAAAAAAATATAAAAGAATATTTAAAATAAAATATTAGTAAAATGAGCTAAATTTTAACAATTTATAAAAAATAAAAAAAAAACTATATACTTCTATAATTTTCAATGGAATCTCTTTCAGTTCTAATTGGAATAGTAACACCTCTAAATTTAGGTGATCCACCCCTTTTTTTTTCTTTTAAAAATTGAATATAAGCTTCATTATCCGAACATCTATTCAAACAAACGCAAAACTCTTCTGGTTGGTTATTATTAACATTATTATTGCTATTATTATTATTAATATTACTATTACTATTATTACTATTGTTAAAACTATAACTATTATTGCTATTATTTAAACTACTATGGGGTTGGTTATATGAACCATAGTAATTATTTATTGAATTATAGTTATTACTATTATTATTATTATTATTATTATTATAATTATTATTTACATTATTACTATTATTATTATTATTATTATTATTATTATTATTATTATTTAA